CCAGACCCGTCCCGGGCGCCCGCACCAACCGGCTCCCCCCGGGGCGCAGTGTGCGGTGTTCAGCTTTCCATTTCCCAAACTTCATCGCTTTCTTCAGTCGTGTGCGGCCGGAGCCTCTGTAGTTAACGGGCTGCTCCGTTACCGCTCCCTGTAGAGAAGAAAATGGAGTAGGCGCGAGCAGATGCCGAATCATCGGGCTCAGAATTGTCAGAACTGCTGAGTCTTGCGGTTGCGTGGCGCTGAAATGTCTCCTATTTTTAAATAGAGCCAAGCTCTTCGGTCTTAGAAGGATGAAGTTTCTATATTAAGAGCCTTATTTTAATCATTGCATTGACATTCATAGGACTTTGTCACTAAAATTTCTTCCTAGTACTTCTATTGCTTGGAATATTCTTTGGCCCTTTTAGAAGCTTGAGCCATTTAAAAATCATACAGATACCCTGTCAGCTGCAAAATTTAAAAAACTGATTGTGGTGCGAAATGTCATCTAGTCGTGTATATATTTTTTTGTTTTTGTTTTTGCAGTACTGAGGAATGAACGCAGATCCATCACAGTGAGCTACATCCCAGCCTTTTTTCTTATCTTTTATTTTGAGATAGGATCTTGCTAAGTCTCTGAATTTCTCTGGGCTGAGGTACAGTTTGAGAGCCTCCCGCCTCAGCTTCCCAGAACATTGTAATTACAGGCATGCAGCACCACATCTAGTTTAGCCACTTTGGGGTTTTAAATATCTTTGGATATTACAAGTATCAGTAGGGCACAAAGGCCTATCTGTCAGCGCTAAAAAGAACATTTGTACGTTAAGGGAAAAATAGTATTGGATGGTTTAGAGACTGCAATGGATACATTTAAATTGAATATGTGAAATCAATTCAGGTTTCCATTCAGAGCTGTCTCTCCAGGCCTTCTGACCTCGCTTAGTTAGACCAAGGCATCGCGTGACAGCTACTCTACTAAGTGGAAAAGATAATGTTTTTCTATGATTACAAGAACTTGTATCCACTTTAGAGCCTCGGTAAAATATTCACATTTGTGCCCCTTGGGCTGCGCGGGTGGAGGTTTGCCTGTGGAGGGAGAAGCCGGGCCCTGAGTGCAGTGCCTGTGGGAGAATCATGGAGTGTGGGAAGTTCGTGCCTCTTTCTCAGGAGGGCTTTTACACAGCCATCAACAAACCTCAGCCGCACAAATCCCAGTCTGTGTTTCCACCAGTTCTGTGTCTACCTGTCTCTGTCAGTACCAGGACTGAACCAAGACCTTGAACTTGCTAAATTAGCGAGTCCTGAACCACCGAGCTCCACCCCCAGACCTCTGTACATTTTGGAGGCGGAAAATTCCGCTCCTGTACCCTCAACTATGGGTTTTGTTTCATTCTCACTTGTAGAATGTATGCCTTAATTTACATACCATCTCAACTCTATAATACCTTGCTCCAACCTGAGCTTCTCTGTTTAAAAACACTCCCCTGGAAGCCGGAAGTACTGTCAGTGTAAGGGCACTGGGGACACGCATCCAACATCGCTTTAAGATTCCTCCTCCTGTCTCACTCTTCACAGGGAGCTGACCCAGTCCCATTGTTTGAGTTCCTCAAAACCCGCCATAAACTGGGATGAGACAGAGGCCTTTCCTGATGAAAAGAACACACCCACCAGTTTGTTAATCGACAGAGATTCAACCCTGTCTAAAGAAAAGGTTTGTATTTTGCTTATAATGTCCCAGCTAATTCAAGTAAAAATTTTTTTTAGTTTATTGGTACATTTTAGATATACAGTAGCGGTTACATTCATTATTGGGATCTTGTACATCTACATGACAGGTCTTGGTTCTCATTTTTTCCTCTTATCCCTGCCCTCCCTTCACCCCCTCCTCCCTCAAGTAAAACTTTTACCCAAAATGTTTCCGGTGCACTGTGGTTTAATTTTGGCCATTCCTTACTTTTTTTAAATTGTAGGACTTTAAGATTCTTTCAGTGCAGTTTTTCCCCCCAAGAAAATCTGTATTGCTTTTCTGGGGAGCAGTTTTTTTGTTTGTTTGTTTTAACCAACAAGCTTTGGCTGGGGATTTAGCCCAGTGGTTCTGCCGCCTGCCTTGCAAGCGCAAGGACCTGAGTTCAATCCCCAGTACCAAAACAAACAAAAAACAAAAACACAACACCAACAGGCTGGGTGTGGTGGCAGACACCTGTGATCCCAGCCCTCTTGGAGTAGGAAGATTGCAAGTTTGAAACCAGCCTGGGTGATTTAGTGATTTAGAGAAACCTTGTCTCAAAATAAAAAACAAAAAAAAGGATAGAGACATAGCTCCATACAAAGGCCTTGGGTGTAGGCCCCTTGTTCCACATACACAAAAACAAAATCAACAGCAGTACAGAAAATACGTCAAAAAATGATGACCAAGTGCTTGTCTGTACACATGCCCTGGCAATAGCAGTCTCCAGAGGGGCAGACGCCTTGCCCCAGAGACACATACTGATGTGCGTATGATCCACAGGGTTTCAGCCAGCTGGGGGGTGCAGGCCAATAATCCCAGCACCCAGGAGGCTGAGGCAAGAAGAGGATCACCTTGAGTTCAAGTCCTGCCTGAACCACATAGTGAGACCCTGTCTCAAAAAAAAAAAACCCAAATAAACAAATAAATAGGATTTTATTATATAAGAAAACACTTAAAAATTATGAGTTACCAGGATGGCAACTTTAAATCTCCATTCCACTAATGAGAATGTGCAAGACTGGGGTGGATTTAACACAGGCAATCCTCTGCTCTGCTTTTTGTTGTTGTTGTTTTTTTGTGTTTTTTTTGGTACCGGGGATAGAACTCGGGTCCTTGCACTTGCAAGGCAGGCCACTGAACCACTGAGCTAAATTCCTAGCCCCTGTTTTTGTTTTTGTTTTTTGAGACAGGCTCTCACTATGTAGTTGAGACTGACCTGGAACTCACTATGTAGCCCACACTGGTTTTGAACTCAGCAATCCTCCTGCCTCAGCCTCCCAAGTGCTAGGATTACAGGTGTGTGCCACCACGCCCAGCCTCTCCCCTCTGCTTTTCCTGGCATCTTCCTGTAAAGGAGCTGTAGCAGGGATGGGTACGTCTTCCTCAATGAAAGGCTACCTAAGTAAAGAATCTTTTTTACCCCCTTTCTAAAAGGCTAAGATGGATTTACCATCTACTTTCAAATAAGGAACAGGAAAAATAAATTTTGATTCAAGAAACTTAATTTTTCAAAGAACTACTTTTTTTTTTTTTTTTTTTAACCTACAGAGCCTGAAGGAAGGAGAGAAAAGGAAGGCAGAGTTATTAAGAGTGGCCGGGCCGGGCCTGGCAGCAGGGCCTGGGGACGACTGGAAGCAGTTGCTCAGGGAGCCAGGGCTCGGGCAGCACCCGGGGTGCTGGTGAACGCTTACATTTGGGGGCCTTCAATTTGGGGCAAGAAGGCAGACCTCAGCTAACTTCCCATCTTGTGGTTTTCACCTGGAAATCCCAGCTCTGTCTTCACAGCTGTTATTTTATAGCATCGGCTACATTGCAGGCCCGGCACGGGTCAGAGTTTTCTTCTCTGGATCCTGTGAGGACCTGAAGTCTGGGTCTCTGCCTTCTCTTTTTTCTAAATATGCCATCGATCAACTTCAGGAAGGATACCCCTTGGGCCTTCCAGGTCTTCCACTGATATATTTATCTTTAATTAATGAATATTTTATCCACCGGCTGCAAACAGCAGCCTCTTGGTAGAGGCCACAGCCTGTTGCTCGCATGGGTGGTCTGAAGAGTTCTGGGAGGGAGCCCTGTCCAGTGACACAGACACATTAGAAACCTCAGAAGAGGAGGAGGAGGACGGAGTAAGCAGCCACTGTGCACCAACATCTGGGTTTAATATTGGCTTTGTTTTTCTTTCTAAAGTAAGTTGTGGTGAGTGAAGCGGGCGTCCTACTGCTGCTCTTCCTGGCCGAGCTCCACCTGAGTTGGCCACCATCCTGAAGCTGGTTACAGTCTCGTTTTTATCCTTTTGCTGCAGAAAAGTTCACACCTGAAGCTGGGCATAGTGGCCCACACCTGCAATGCCAGAAGTTCTAGATTGCAAGTTCCAGCCCAGCTGGGGCAATTTAGCAAGACTCTGTCTCAAAATAAAACTTTTAAAAAAATGGGCTGGGGATGTAGCTCCATACAAAAGCCCTAAGTTCAGTCCCCAGTACCCCCCAAAAGTAATTAAGAAACACTGTGTAAGATTGCCTTGTATGTTTCTATTGGTTGTATTTATTTGTGGTACTGGGGCTCAAACCCAGGGTGTCTTCCTGCTAGGCAAGCGCTTTACCACTGAGCTACCCCAGAATTGAAAAGTAACAAGAATAAGCTCAAGCACACATCCGAGTAGTCTAAAAGACTTGCAGGCCTTTCACATTCCATTTTGCAGGTATTTGGACCTGCTGATTATGGCTTGAAGCGCTTATTTAGGAAAGCCAAACAAAGCCCAGGATGCTTTTGTCAAATGGATGTTGCTCAATCGGAGGAAGTTGGGTTAAGCCACATTATTTGAGAAGTTTCTAAGAAATAAAAGGAATTTGGATAGTGCTGGACGTCCCGCTGGGCCTGTTCAAGCCAACTAGGGACAGGTAGTTCGCGGCTGTGAATGCCAGTCGCTCGGCAATATGAACACGTAAAACCTTTCCTGGGCCTCCGCGCTCACCGCCTGCTGTCTCCCCAGGACGACTTCTCGCCCACGAGCAAGCTGCAGCGTCTGCTGGCCGAGTCCCGGCAGATGGTCACCGACCTGGAGCTCAGCACGCTGCTGCCCCTCGGCTGCCAGGACCCGGGCGGTGGCGCCAGAAGCGTGCGTGTCCCCTGCAGGTGACCCCGCCCAGCGCGGGGCGTGGCTGTCACCACAACAACCTTTGGCCCGGAGTTTCCTTCTTCCTCTGGGAAGGGTAGCGGACTTGATTCCAGGGGAGAGAAAGCCACAGGCAGCTTATTGCTCCTACACCGACTGCCTCTCCTTCTTTCTCTGCACCCGATCTGTGGGAACAGACATGACTATGGCGCGCGCTTCTTTACTTTTCGCTTCATGCCAGGCAAGCGCTCTACCACTGAACTGCACTCTACCTCAAATTTAGGGATTTAATTTTTTTTAAATTTTAATTTTTTTGGTACCCCTTTTTTCCCCAAAATTTTACATGCAGGGGCTGGGGATTTAGCTCAATGGTTCCACCACCTGCCTCACAAGTACAGGGTCCCAAGTTCAATCCCGGTACAAAAAAAATTTTTTTTAATGCAAACTTGGCCATGGTGCCGTGTGCCTATAATTCTCAGGAGGCTGAGGCAGGAGGATCACTCTGAGTTTGAGGCCAGCCTGGGCTACATAACTCAAGAGTAGCCTGAACTACAGAGAAAGACCCTGTCTCAAAACAGAATTTTTTTAAATACAAAATTTCAAATAAAAAAGTAGGAGGAATATCGTACACTGATGTTCAACAGTCATCACTTTTCTGTCTTCCTTTTTTTTTTTTTTTTTAATTTCCTCTACATGTCCTCTTCTGTTTTGTTTTGTTTTGGGTGCCGGGGATTGAACTCAGGTCCTTCTGCTTGCAAGGCAGGCCATGTAACCAGTGAGCTAAGTCCCCAGCCCTACATGTCCTCTTCTGAAGTATGTTAGAGCAAGTCTAAGGCACCATATCATTTCACTCAGAAATATTTCATGCTTTATCCATAGCAGCTATAGACTTTTAAAAAAACGTTAACAGATAACAGTGGCACACATCTGTAATCCCAGCTACAGGAGGATCAGGAGGCTGAGACAGGAGGATCACAAGCTGGAGCTCAGCCTGGGCGATATAGTGAGACCCCATCCTAAAAGATGGGCCGGGGATGCAGTTCCTGGGAGAACCCGCGCGGTCAGCCCAGACGGGCACTTGGCATTTGCCTGGCACCGTTTGTTTCTTCCCTTTCCACTTTCTCTTCCTCTCCCACCCTTCTTTTCTTTGTTCTCCATGAGTTTTATTTGCTTGTTTGTTTATTTTGGTGCTGAAGATTGAACCCAGGGCCTCAAAATTGCTGAGTGAGGACCCTACCACTGAGCTACACTTGGCCTTACTTGTTTACCTATAGCATGTAGTACGTTTACCGAAGGTCCAGGGGCAGCAGCAGAACAGACAGAGGGGCAAAGCGGGTTTTTTTTTTCCCAGTGCTGGGGATCGAACTCGGGAATTTGCACTTGGAGGCAGTCGGTGGAACCACTGAGCTAAATCCCCGGCCTGAATTTTTGTTTTTAATTGCATTTGTGAAGGAAAGATTGGGTCATTTTCCTGGAGAATTTCCCACTTTCGGATTCTTGCCAGCTCTCTCTTCACTGTGTCGTTCAGTACTTTTTTCCCCAACTCCGCTTTCCTACAAACTGGCGCTCTAAGCGAGTGACTTGAGCTGGCTCCTGAAGGTGGGGCTCGCACCGGCTGCTCCGCCTGTCAGGAGGCCCCAGTGTCTGCCGGTCCCACTTCCAGTTGTTTGCTTAATGGACGAACTTCGGAGCTTGTCTGCCCGAGGGTTAACATTGTTAGGTTTCCCAGAGTTCGCTGATTTTAGCATCCGTTGATGATTATTATTTAGATGCATGACTTCATCGAAACTGCAAAGTAGTAATTTTCTAGATCTGTCCTTTCAGGGAATGTTTCACGTGTTAATCGTCTGGCTTATTCTGAATACAGTAACGTTTCATAGCGGTGATGGAAGTTACCTTGCAGATTTTATAGCCTCAATGAAAATAGTGAAAAGAAGACTGGGCTTGAAGTCAGGGCAGTTGCCCATTGTCCTAATGGTAACCTAAGAGCTTGGGACTGATAGGCTGGAAGATTGAAAGTTTGAGCCCAGCCTGGGCAGCTTACTGGCTTGGAGGGTATATGTTTCAAATAAAAAAAGTCAGACTGGGTCCTGTCTTTCTTGACAATTACATTTCAAACAAAACATGAGGCCGGGCGTGGTGGCACAAGCCTGTAATCCCAGCACTTGGGAGGCTGAGGCAGGAGGATCAAGTTCAAAACCAGCCCGGGCTACATAGTGAGTTCCAGGTTAGTCTCAACTATATAGTGAGATCCTGTCTCAAAAAACTAAAAAATAAAATAATAATAATGATAATGGAGCCACTGAGGCAAGAGCCTTCTGTATCTCTAACCAAAAAACAAAATAAACAAAGTTCTGTAAGAACACTGCAAAGTTTTTCTACCTGAATAAACCTTGCCAGGGAATGCATCTTAGAGCAGGGTACTTAGCAGGTACAAGGCCCTGGGTTAGATCCCTAGCACAGCAAGAAAAAATATTATTGAAATATAACTTATGTACAGTAAAATGAAGACATTTATTAAGATTGTCCCTAATTTCTATCCTGGTACTTTAATGAAAAACTAGAGCAGATCACACGGGTTGGGAAGTCTGGACGCAGGTCTGTGTGTCCGGGAACAAACATTCCTCTCAAGATGCGCGGAGCATTTCTGTCATGAGAAGTTTCCCCTACACTCTGAGAGGAATCTCCTTCCTCCCCAGCGCAGCACACGTTACTGACCTGATTCTTATCACCCGAGACAAGTTCTGCCTGCTCCAGAGCTCCGGGTAAATGTGGCCGCGGTGGATGTGCTTTGTCTGGCTTCCTCTAATGTCATCGCGTGGGCGAACCCGAGAGTTGTGCATCAGTGCCTCCTGCCCTCCCATTGCAGGTTAGGGTTCCGGTGTGACTAAAACACAGTCTTTGCTCACCTCTTGGTGGGACATTTGAGTTGATTGCAGGTTAAGACTCTTAAAACAGAGCTGCTATGAATATTTAAATAGCATTTTTTTTTTTTTGAGACAGGATCAAACTGTGTAGCCCAAGCTGGCCTTAGGCTTGATCCTCCTGCCTCAGCCTCCTAAATGTTGGGATTCCAGATGCTACCACATCCAATTAAAAACCATACCAATTTTTTTTAGGGGGGGTACTGGGGATCAAACTCTGGACCTTGCACTTGTCAGGTAGGCGTGCTGCCACTGAGCTAAATCCCCAGCCCTTGTTTTTGTTTTTTGCAGTATTAGTACCCACAGCTACATCTTTGGCCTTTAAAAAATTTTTTTAAAAATTTTGAAATGGGGTCTTTCTAAGTTGCTAAATTGTCTCCAAGTTGCTAAAATGCTACGTCAGCCTCCCAGTGCTGGGATCGCAGGAGTGGACCGCATGTCCAGCTGCATGTTTCCATCTCAGAGTAAACGCCAAGAAGTAGAACAGCTGGTTTTAGAACAACAGTTGGTTTTATTAACCTCTTACTAAAGCACCGAGTTGTGCCGCAGGTCGGCTGTGCCATTTTACCCTCCTGCCAGCGATGTGCATCCTGGGTGCCTGCGAGCTCGCCCATGTGCCCATCGGCCTCTGATTTCAGCCATTCTTAAAAGGGAAGTGGCGTCCTACTGTGACTCAGTTAATAAGTGTCTTTTCATGCATTTATTGGCTCATTGATTTTTTACTTTTTTTGTTTGTTTTTTACTTTTTTAATGTCTTTTTTATAGTGTCTATTCGAATCTTTTATCTATTTTAAATTTGAGTTGTTTTCTTTGTTATCGTTGAGCTGTAAGAGTTCTTTCTGTGGTCTGGACACAATTGCTTTGTCCTTTGTCAGATACATCATGATATGTGCTTCTAGTATTTGGTTTGTCTTTTCAGTTTCTTTTGTTTTTTAAATGGTACCAGGGATTGAACTCGGGACCTTGCGCTTTCGAGGCAGGCAGCGGAACCACTAAGCTAAATCCCTGGCCCGATTTTTTGGTTTTCTGAGACAAGGTCTTGCCATTTAGCTCAGGCTGGCCTTGAACTCACTGGGATCCTCCTGCTTCCACCTCCTGAGTGCAGGGATTACAGGGATGTGCCCACCAGGCCTGGCAAAAATTTAAAATTTTGATGCAGTGGAATTTAACAGTTTAGTTTCTATTTTTTTTCTTTTTCTTTTTTTTTTTTTTAAGACAGTGTTTCACTCTCTAGCCTAGGCTGGCCTCAAATTTACTGAGTTCTTCCTGCCTCAGCCTCCCTAGTTCTGGGATTATAGGTGTGTGCCACCATGCCCAGCTGTTGTTATTTTTAGTGGTGCTTTTTGTATCCTAAGGTGTCTACTTCAGGATGGTGAATATTCTCATTGCCTAGAAGTTTAGCACACATACTGTACTTAGAGCTGCGTCTGTGGTCTATTGTGACTTAACCTTTGTGTGAGTTGTGAAGTAATAGTTAAGTTACACCTACCCAGTCCTAGCACCACTGGTTGGAAAGGTGTCCTTCTCCATGGGATTGCTTTGGGTGCTTTGCCTGTCAGTTGACCCCATGTGAACTCTGGGGTCATTTTTGTTGGTCCATTAGCCTTTCCTTACACCAGTTCCGATGCACCGATTACCGCAGCTCTGAGGAAAGTCTGGAATCAGAACTGTAGGTTCTTCCTCTCACTCTTCCTTGGGACCCTGTCTCAAGCAGAAAAATACATCAGGAAAATAAAAAGTTGTATAAATATTTTTATTTATTTTTTCTACAATGGAGCACTACTCTGCCATAAAGAAGGATGAGCTTCAGACATTTCCAGCTAACTGGATGGACCTCGAGACCACACTCCTAACTGAAAACTTGTATAAATATTTTTAAAACTAACTTTATTGAGATATCATGTGGTTCATCCCTGTTATAGCATGCGTTCCTATTTCTTGGCTTTTCAGAGCTAAATCGGCTGGGCGTGGTGGTGCAGGCCTGTAATCCCAGCACTCAGGAGGCTGAGGCAGGAGGATTGCTGTTCGAGGCCAGCCTGAACTACAAATCGAGACCCTGTCTCAAAATAAGAAGGGGCCAGGGATGTAGCTCTGTGGTTCTGCTGCCTGCCTGACAAGTGCTAGCTCCCAAGAGTTTGATCTCTGCTATCAAAAAAAAAAAAAAAAAAACCCACAAAAAACAAAAAAAAAGAACAAAAAAAAAATTGACCCATGCCCGGATGTTCGCGTGCCCTGCGTTTGTCTGTCCGTTGTCCATCAATGGGCTCCGGGTTTGCTGCCACGGTTTAGCTGCTGAGGCACTGCATGGACAGGTAGCTGGCTGAAACTTTTTCAGCGCTCCAGGGTATGGCCCCCGCCCCTGGCGGAAAGCAGTGAGTGGTGGGCAGCTCGGTACGGAGGAGGGCGCAGGGGCGGGGCTGAGGGCTCCGCCAAGAAGGGCGTGGACGTGGCCACACCCACGAGGCCAAGGCCTGCGCCAGGATGTGCTCTGCAGGCGTCTCCCTCCCCATCTCTTCCTCCTCTTCCTTCCCAGCCTTCCCAGTGCTAGTGAGTCTGGCTGAGCGCTCCATAGCCCGGAAGCTCTGACTGCTCCCCTGTGGACCGTGCATTAGGTGATGGCAGGGCAGCCGCACATGGATTGTGGCCAGCGGGGCCGACCTGCGGGGCCCCGGGCCAGGGACCCCCGTGTGAGCCGAGGACCTTCGTGTCTTCATTGGGGGGTGGCAGTTGTTTGGAATTGCTCCATTCTATTTTGCTAATTTTTGAAGGTCTTTTAAAGGTATTTCTGCCGGACGTGGTGGCACAGGTTGGCAATCCCAGCTACTCAGGAGGCTGAGGCAAGAGGATTGCAAGTTCAAGAGCAGCCTGGGCAACTAGTGAGACCTTGTCTCCAAATTTTAAAAAGGGCTAGGATTGCAGCTTTAGTGAGAAGACCCTGTGTTCAATCCCCAGTACCAAAAAAAAAAAAAAAAAAAAAAGCATTTCTGCTGTATCTGTCTTAAGTATGTTCTGGTTTCTGTATCCTGGGTACTCACTTGGGAATTGTTTCCTAGAATTTAGAAGGCTCAGAAGAGTCAGCTCAAAAGAACACCTTCATCAGTCCCTGAAGAACACACAGACAGCCCCAGTGTTCACCGAGGCCCTGGGTAAGTCACCTTCGCTTGTGGCGCTTGTATCTCCGTGGATATTTAATAAGTAACTGGGGGACGCTGATAATGTGGAGGCAAGGCTGGCGTTTGTTTGGCCAGTAACCTTTCTCTCTGCTTGGCCTGGGTATACTGTACATACCCTCCCGGTCCTATCAGAGCAAAATGTCAGCTCCTTGGGAGAGAAATGCAGATCAGAAGGTTCTTGCACTTATTACCTAGAAATTGAAATCCAAGGAAGTGAATCTATAGATCCAGCTTTCAGAGTCAGAGTCTAAAGCAGCATTTCAGCACTTTACCTGGCTATCTCCCTGCAGAGAAATCGATAGTTGGGATCTGGGTCTTTGCAGCTTTGTACAAAGTGTCTGTTCCCTCACGGGCCTCCTCCTGTGAGACTCCATTTCCCGTCCGGTGTCTTCAGGATCTGGGTGTCTCTCAGCAGCCGTGGCCGAGGCCTTTAGACTCTGCCAGCTGGAAACTCCCTTCCTCCCTGCCCCTTCTTGCCCAGAGGTCTTCACCTGGCTGTGCCTTCATACCAATGAGTCGGGATCTGCAGCCGCGTCTTAAATGGAGTTCTTAGCACCAGCCGGGGCTTAATGATCCACATTCTGCTTCCTTCCCCAGAAGCAGATTTCTGGTCCGAGTGAAGGCAAAGCAAACGTCAGTAAGGCTCCCTTCCCTAAAACCAGATCGTGGGCCGTGAGCCTTCGCGGGTCCCGGGAAGCAGGGCTGAGCACCTACTTTGGTTTTCAGTGAAGTGTTCCATGTGGCTTTCTCATACCTTTACAAGCTTGGGATTATGCCAAGAGGGAGAAGACTTCTGTGGAAGGACCCAGGTGCCCTGCAGCCCTGGAGAACATCGGAACCGAGTGTGAAATCCACTCGCTCTGCCTTCTCGGGACTTGCACGCACATCTAAGTTAGAATCAGGGAGCTCTCAGAGTCGGCTCCAAATATGTGAGGACAGTGTTGTCTTCTATAGTTTTAGGGCTGCACTTTGCCGGTTAATAGACATGACTGAGAGTCACATGACGCGAGTGGGGGTCATTTGCCCTTGGCTGCTGACTGTCCAGGTCATCTGTCCTAGGCCAGGCAGAGTCCGTCTTGCTGGATTTGTATCTGTCCATCCATTAACACAAACAAATGTGTACTGGAAGATCAAGTTGTACATGGATTTTTTTATATTAAAGAATAAAACACTTCCATGTTAACTTGTAAAGTAATTTGATTTTTTAAAAATAATATTGTGTGACTCTGTGTGTCCCTCCTAAGAGAACTGATCTGTTTCAGTCAATAAAGAATATTTTTAATAAACAAAAGTACTTTCTGTTGGTTTCCTTTTATTGCACAGTAAGAAAATAAGGAAGATTAGTCACTTTACACCAAACCTGGTGAGTGCTATTCCTCAGGAACAGGAATGAGGAATGCATTTCAGATATCAAAGTTCTAGTGTGGTAGACAAATGACCCCTTTGTTGGATGCAACAGGGTTTCTGCAGAGATGATTTTCCCAGGAGCTGAAGGGCTGCCATGGTTTGGTTTTTTTTTTTTTTTTTTTTTTTTTTTTTTCTTTGTACCAGGGATTGAACTCAGGTCCTTGTGTTTGTGAGGCAGGGGGCAGGACCACTGAGCTAAATCCCCAGCCCTGGTTTGGGTTCTTTTGTTTGTTTATTTGTTTGTTGTTTTTTGAGACAGGGTCTCACTATGTAGTTCAGACTGACCTGGAACTCACTGTGTAGCCCAGGCTGGTCTCAAACTCACATAGATCCTCCTGTCTCAGCCTCCCGAGTGCTGGGATTAAAGGCCTGCACCACGACGCCCGGCTTCAGTTTGGCTTCTTAATTGGGGTGCTGAAAAGAGAAGTGGGCTGAGGTCTGGCTGCGTCCCTCATAAATACTTGCTCTCTCCCCAGGCCAGTTGCACAGAGCGAGACTGAGGAAGGTGTAGCCGGTCCCAGCAGTGCGTGCAGAGCAGAAACCTGAAATGTCCAGAGAGGTGACTTCCGGCTGAGCACAGAAACGCCTGGCTCCTTCTCTGTGGGCTGGGCTCCTGCTGCAGATCCCCTTGCCCAGTGACAGTGGGGCTCTGATTAACTCTGAGCAGGCAAACTTCAGGGAACTGAAGGATTGGAACAGAATTAAAAATTACTATATGGCTAAAAGTATTTTTAGGTCATAGGATTGTCGTATGTGCACAACTCTTTTAGGTGAGTGTGTCTGTGTGTGGCAGTGGGTGGAACCCACTCTAGACCACCATCTACGCTGAGCTACACCCCCACCCCTCACACTGCTGTGGTGAGGTGAAGTCTTCCCGGTGATGCTTATTCTTACTGTACCACATTACTGTGAATTATTTCACGGGCAGTTCAAAAGGCAGGTTAGATGGACCAGGGATTTAGCTCAGTAGTTCCAGCGCCTTCCTCAAAAGTGCAAGGGCCCGAGTTTTGTGTTGAGACAGGGTCTCACTGTTTAGTCCAGGCTGGTCCTACGTGACCGGAGTCGTCGTCATTTTTTTTTCAGAGTCATTTTTAAGATCAACAACATATCATCTTAGGAAGTGACTAAATTGGTCCAGGGATTTAGCTCAGTGATTCCAAAGCCTGCCTCACAAACACAAGGTCCTGAGTTCAAACTCTGGTACCAAATAAAAAAAAAAGAAGTGACTGAATTATGCTATAATTTGCCTGCCAGAGATGATCTCAACATTGGAAAAGGCTGACATGAGGGTACTTTTAGAATTTTTGAAAAGATCTTTTAAACAGAAGTAGAAATGCTCCAAAAGAAATTGATTTAACCAGGCGCGATAGTGTGTGGCCTGAAACCCCAGTACTCTGGAGGCTGAGGCAGGAGAATCACTGCAAGTTCTAGGCCAGCCTGAACGACACAGTGAGACCCTGTTTCCAAAGAAAAAGAAAATGAAACAAATTTTTATAGCAAAACATTTATTGTGCATTTTAGGCAGATACAATGATTACTGTCATCGTAGGGAATTTGCACCTGTACATGGTATATCTCACCCTCTTTTCCCATTCTCCCCTCGCCTCAAGCCCCTCCCCTCCCTGTGTACAAATCAAGCTTTCTTTTCATTTCTTCCTTCTATTTTCCTTTTTTTCTTGTCTCTTTCTTTCTCTCTCCCTCCTCCCTTGTTCCCCTTCCCATTTGAACACTTTCGTCCTATTTCCCAATATCCATTATACATTTCAGTCCTTATTTCTGCTTTCAGTTTCTCATACCAGAGAATGCAGTATTTAAATACCTGTGCCTGCCGGGCGTGGTGGCACACACCTGTGATCTCAGCACTCAGGAGGCTGAGTCAGGAAGATCACTGAGACCAGCCTGGGCTACATAATGAGTTCCAGGTCAGTCTCAACTACATAGTGAGACCCTACCCCCCGCCAAATACCTGTGCCCATTTTATTTTACTTAAAAGCATGGTCTTGAGGTCCATCCATTTAGCTAGAAGTGTCTCAAGCTCTTCCTTAGAAAAAAATTGATTCTGAATGAAAATAATATATAAACACTAAAAACAGTTTTACCCCGAAGTTGCCAACAGAGGGCTTAGCGTGCAGTGGCTGGGGGTGCGGAGGAGGCGGAGCCCTTTTCCCACCCTGTTTCCCCTGCTGCTGACTTGGGGGTCCTCATGGGGTGACGCCTGCAGCTCTGGTTCCCTTCGCCGCCGTGTGAGGCCCATTTGTTGGCACTGCACGGAGCGCTGCAGGAGGATGAGCTCAGCAGCCTCCAGTGTGCCGGGAGCAGCTCAGAGGGAGACTGAGAAGCAGACACATCCACCAGGATGCCGTGGGCAGAGGGTGCAGCCAGGATGGTCTGACGGGGTCCATGGGGTGTGATCGCATGTCCATCCGTCCTGCGGAGAGCAAGGCTCCCACTTCTCAGCCAGGTGCAGGTTCAGCTTGGCCAGCAGACAGGGCAAGCATCCGAGCACACAGCAGCCCTTCCGGCCACCCGAGACCAGCCACGAGCAGAGCAGGATTGATCCTCCACACAGCACAGTGATCTTAAATAAGGGCAGGGATTGTGAAAAAAGGAAACAATGGAAACAGTCTCTGTAAATAGGGAGGGGTGAAGGGGGTGAAGGACAGGCAGGGGTATGGGGAAAAAATAAGAACCAAGACATATGTAAAGGTACAAGATCCCAATGATAAATGTAACTGTATTGTTTGCTTTAAATAAATTTAATGGGGGAAAAAAGGGCAGGGAGGGGGCAGTAAGTGCTAGAGAGAGAGTTTGGGAGATTCTATGACAGCGTAGAGAAAGCAAGGCCAGGGCAGAGAATTCAGGGAAGGCATCCATCAAGAAGTGACATCTGAAGCAATAGCTGAGTTTACTAACCAGGCAAACAGGAAGTGAATTCCAGACAATAATAACAGCATGTGCAAAGGGCCTGAGGCAGGAAGGAGCATGATGCATTCATAGACCTGTCAGGCCAGGATGGAGCAATATGAAGCTGGGAAGAGGCCAGGCTGGTCATGCATGTGTGTCAGCAAAGCAGGGCGGAGATTGCAGAACACAGCCTTTCATAAGCCCCAGTGATGCAAACTCTGTTTTCTTGATTCTGCCTAAAATGGGGTCTAATTTGCATCCCAAATGTGTGGTCTTGATAATATCTAGAGAACTAAATAGCCCTCAGGACACTTCAAAATGGCATCTAGGACCTGGGCATGGTAACATACTCATAATTCCAGGACTCAGGAAACTGAGGCAGGAGGATCACCATGAGTTTGAGGCCAACCTTGGCTCCATGGTGAATTCAAGGCCAGCGGGGACCCCGATTCTAGTGATGTGGAGCATTGCAGGCAACAGACAGAGCCAGAGGGGGACCAGGCCCCCCACCCAAAGATGCTCTGACGATGAGGAGGCAGTTGGTGTCCTTGTGTCCCCTCCTCACCTCCACTCAGACGCTCCGGGGTTGCGGCTGGAAAGCAGGCCCACAGCCCGACACTTTGCCGTCATTACCAAACCTTCATGAGCATTAAATCAGATCTGCTGGCCGAGAAGGCAGGTGGCTGCTAATGTGAAGTCCCCATGACAGATGCTCTGGGCCTCTGGTCCACACGTGAAGGTCACAGGACAACCGCTCTTGTTCCCTGTGGGAAAGGACCTGAGAAATAGCTGGTGTGGAGGAAACAAGCCCCTTTGTTGTGGTCGGCAGTTGACAGTGGCTACTGACTGAATACTGAGGATTAGAGACAAGATAATGCTCTAAAGGGTTTAGCACTGAACCTGGCAAATAAGCACTCAGTAAATATCAGTGGTTGCCATTCTGCTGTTCTTCTGGTACGGAGACTCTCCAGCGACTGGAATCAGACAAAGCACGACTCATCTCTCTCTTTTGAGAGGACAGTGGTGTCCCATGCACCTTCTGTGTGCAGTGTTAACTCTTGGGCGGGAGAGTGAGGAGCTGGAGAGCAGAAAGACAAGCTGGGTGTGGTGGTGCACACCTGTGACCCCAGCACTCGGGAGGCTGAGGCAGGGGGATCACCATGCATTTGAGGCCAGCCTGGGCTCCATAGTAAGTTCAAGGCCAGCTTGAACTACATAGGGAGGCCCTGTCTCAAAACACCAAAAAGAAAAGAGAAAAAAGAGACCAGAAAGACAAGGTTCTGGCTGGCAGAGTGCTTCAGTCTCACGGGGCTGACGCCAAGACAGCATCTCCTCTCCTACAGGTAGATGACCCTGGAGACACTTTGCCTCCATAAGCAAGGGAACTGTAATCCCAGCACTAGGGAGGCTGAGGCAGGAGGATTGCCAGCCTGAGCTACATAGTGAGTTCAAAGCCAGCCTGCACAACAAAGTAAGACCTTGTCTCAAAAAATGAAAACAACAACAAAAACCACACACATGCGCGTGCACGCACGCACACACACCAGCAATATGTATATGTACCAATTTCCCAAGATGATTGTACCTATTATATACCACAAATGTTATACTAATACATTTTTTTGGTATCAGGATTCAAACTTTTCGTATCAGGATTCAGGACCTTGTGCTTTCAAGGCAGGAACAGTGCCACTGAGCTAAATCCCTGGCCCCCATAATAAAATTTTTAAAAATAGAAAAAAATTTAAAAGCCTGGTTCCTTTAGTACCTTTGTGGGGCAACTATATTCTGGTAGGAAAGCTAAGAACAGCAGAAACAGTATA